CGTGCGCAGCGGCTTCAGCCGCCTGCGGCCGGGGGCCAGGGCCGAGCCCAGCCGCCCGCGGCGCCAGCTCGGCTCCGCTCGGCCCGACATGCGGCCCGACTGAGGCCCGACTGAGGCCCGACCTGAGGCCCGACGAGCCGCCCGCCGCTCCCCGCGCCTGCGCCGCTCCCGCCTCCCGCCCCGCCTGCTGCCTGCGCCGCTCCCGCCTCCCGGTCCCGGGGCTGCCCGCGCTTCCCGAGCGTAGTGGGGGCTCGCCCGGGGACCCGCCGCGGCCCAAGGGGCGCGGAACAGGCGCATTGGCCTCTCGTGCAGCTGCGGGGAGCTGAGGGACGGTGAAGTGTGTCCGAGATGAGGGCGAGCGGAGCCGTGCGAGGAAGCGCGGCCAGATGCAGGCCTTGGGGGGCTGTGGAACACCCTCAATCCTTTTTTTTTTACTCTCTTCCAAAACTCTGTCATCTTTCATTTAAAAATTATACAATTTAATACAAATTGTCTTACAGTGGGTTAAGGACCAAGCTGTTTTTGATGCCCAGCATGATAAATAAATTTGAGGTCATCAGGTCTCTGTTAGACCCCTACACACCTTGTCACTTCCACATGGGCTTGGTTTCCTAACTAGGTTTCCAAAGAAGTCAGTTTTATGCCTTCCAATGGCAGCCAAGCACTTCCAGATAAGTACTGTCCATTCATCAGGAGCAGCAGAGAGGAAAAAAAGCCTTCTGCAGCAAGACAAAATGATCCATCCTGGTTATCAGCTTTCTTGCTCAAATGAGATTTTGAGGCATAACTGCACAAAGTGAGGAACTTTGCTGCTACTGCAAGTGGGAGCCTCATCAAGGTAGCCAACTGTGCTGTGTCCCAGACTCTTCTTCCATTGATTTGCCGTTTCATATCCCCACCCCTTTTGCCACAGAGTGGCAGCAAATTAACTGATGCAATTTGATCTTGTGACTTCCAACACAGTTGCAGAGCTTGTGATGTGAGCACGATTTAAACTGGGGTAAAGGACTTCTCACCTTGGCCACTCATCACTGTTGAATAATATTACCTACTCCTTGCTTGTCAGCTAGTGACATCATGAAAGCAGTTAGAAATTCAATACTCCTGTCCCTCTCTTCTGAGTCTGTTTTCTTAACATTGTCTACACTCGATGGGATGAATTTCCAGTTAATTTAACTCTGTAGCATCCCCAAATACTTCAAAGCACGTGCTTGCTGCTGTGCTTCTTGGCATTGTGAAAAAACTCTGTGCTCCCTGTGCTTTGAACAAGGTGCAGTTATTTGACCCAACCTGTCCAAAGCTGGAACAAAAAAGACTTCAGTCCCTTGCAAGAAATCTCTTGGTCAAGTGTTTCATTATGGGAAGGGCCAAACCTGATCCACTGCTTCTCTTTTCCCCTACAAAGGCTATAAAAGAGATGGATACTGTTCACAGAAGGGGTAGTATGTCAGAATTTCTGTACCCATGAAATGGATGAGAGGGGCCACTGACACAGCTCAGGATACTTTCAGAGAAATAATCCATATTCTTACCTACCCTGAATACTACTAGCACCATGATTGGTGAAAACTTATTGTGCCAGGGTGGGCAGTGACTTCCCTGAGCCCTCAGGGTGTGGAAAATTTAGTCTGGTGCAGCACACTCACACAATCTTTTGGCCTGCATCTGCACAGCCTATCTGCATGGTCTGTCTGTGGGCAGAGTGACTCAGAAGCAAAGGGAAATTCAGTTTTGGATGGTGAAGTCAGAGCCTGGTGAAGCCCCAGGCTCTGACTCACAGAAGGCAAATGCATTTGACATGTGCAAGAAGTGAATGAAAGTTCACAAATCTGGACTGGAGGACTCAGGACTCAAGAACAAACACCCTCAAGAGATACACTGGCGCTCAGATGGTCATGCTTTTAATCTTTTGCTCACTGAAGTGCAAGTAGTGTCCCTTCCAGATGTTTCTTCCTTTTTGTGTTTCTGTGCAATTGTAGCACTGATCTCCTGGATACGTTTAGATTTGAAGTCATTGTGCTTGTCCAAAAAGGTTTTCACTCCGAACCCACAACATTGCAAAGAAGTGATGGAAGATCCTTGGTGACTGAATGATGGGAGACTGTGTGTGTGTGTGTGAGGGTCTGTCCACTTGCAGCTTGTAACTACTTTGTTGCTACCACATGTGGAACAAACCTGTTTTCAGCCTCAAGGTTGTGCCTGGAAAAACAGCTGCTTGTGGTGAGGCTAAATCTGTCTTACTTAACTTTCTGAGTATCCTTCTTTCAGCTTACCCCTGCCTGCAGAGGAGCATTGAAGGAAACTGGTGAGGAGTGACTCTCATAATCCTCACGAAGGGCCTTAATTGTAGCCACCCTCTCTCCTGGTTGCCAAATTGCAGAAGTCATTCTCCAGTGAGGCCACCTTTTTTCTCTATTTAAGAAGGAGAAATGGATGATGTAGTGAGGTTGACTCTAATCTACTGCTTGGTTGGGTCTCTTTGAAACAAATTTCTATCCCACCATTTATTTGGCAGCAAAATATGAAGTGAGTATCCTTCTCTCACCCCAGCCTTGCATGAAGTTGATGCTCTGTGCCTTCTGTGTTAGCAGTGTTAACAATCATATCCATATCTATTGATGTGGTTCTTGGCAGCCACTGTGGTTTCATAGCATATATCAGGATAGTTTTAGGCTATTGCTTTTCATATATTAAAAGGCTTGTGACAGAGTGAACAATTGTCTTCTTTCACATTGCTGCCTTGGAGTATATTTATTAATAATAATTAGAGTGCACAGGACTTCATCTTTAACTGCTTCCTAAAGATGAACTAATTAGTCTGCACACTTTACCAGTGAGTGAACCTTTAGAATTTGTCTTTGGGATTAAAGGGAGGAAAACCTCAACAGCTCATTCAGCAAAGCATTTGAGACTGTGCTTAATTTCAAGCATGTCTGGTAGCGAAGTACATGTTTAAGTGGTCTTAAGATCCCAGCTACCTGCCCGAGGCAAAAGCTTCCTATTTATTCTGGACCAGGATAGACCCATGTTGGAAGATAATAAATGTGTGAGCACTGCTGGGATGGTCTTTTCCTCACTGATTAGCTGCCTCAGGTAATAATATCATTAGTAATAACATTGAAGACATAGCCCCAGTAGCTTTAATGCAGTTTGTATCAGCTTGTCACTGACCACAGATAACTATTTGAGTAACTTAGAGTGGTAAAGTCACATCTTCATGGTTCCTGTTCCTTCTGCTAACTGCTGTAAATTGCACTTTACACTTGCATCGTAGATGCGGGGTGTAAGTGTCTCTGACTGTGTTTTTTATAAAAGGCTTCCTGTTTGCCTGCTCTTGGCTTTATGAATTTGAGACCTGTGATTTCTAAATGTACTGAACAGAGCCATGGTGCTCTAAGGAAGACTTTCTGCATCCCACCAGTTTTTCTTTAGTGAGTGTCTCAGGCATTATACTTTTCCATTTGGGAGATTTCTCAGCATGGTTTAAAGCTGTCAGTGTTGCTAGTGTTGCATGAATGGAGAGAAATAGATGGTAGAAATAAAATTATTTCATTTGCTACTCTGTCCCTTCCTACCCTGTTCATCTCTAGACTTACAGAATCATAGAATTATGGAATATGCTGGTTGGAAGGGAACCACAAGGATCATCGACTTCAACTCCCAGCCCTGCACAGGATACCCCAACAACCCCACTCTGTGCCTGAGAGTGTTGTCCAAATGCTTCTTGAACTCAGATAGGCTTGGGGCTGTGACCACTGCCCTGGGGAGCCTCTTCTGTGCCCCACTACCCCCTGGGGAAAGACTCTTTCTCTAATATCTAACCTGAACCTCCCCTGACACAGCTCCAGCCATTCCCTTGTGTCCTGTCACTGGTCACAAAAGTGATGAGATCAGTACCTGCCTCTCTGCTGCCCCTTGGGAGGATGTTGAAGAGCCCAATGAGGTCTCCCTTCAGTCTCCTCTTCTCCAGCTGAACAGACCAAGGGCCCTCAACTGCTCCTCACACGGCTTCCCCTCCAAAACCTTCCCCATCCTCAGGGCGTCCTTTGGACACTAATAGCTTCATATCTTTCTTATTCTGTGGTGCCCAAAACTACCCCAATGGTGCAGGTGAGGCCACCCCAGGGCAGAGCAGAGCGGGACAATCCCCTCCCTGGCCCGGCTGGCCATGCTGGGCCTGATGCCCCCAGGACAGGCTTGACCCTCCTGGCTGCCAGGGCACTGCTGACTCAGGGCCAACTGGCCACCCACCAGGACCCCCAGGGCCCTTTCCTGGCTCTGCTTTCCAGCCTCTCCTTCCCAGTCTGTCCATACATCTGGGGTTGCCCCATCCCAGGGGGAGAATCTGGCCCTTGTTGAACTTCCCATGGTTGGTGATTCCCAGCCCTCTGATCTGTCCAGGTCTCTCTGCAGGGCCTCCCCGCCCTCAAGGGAATCAACAGCTCCTCCCAGCTTTGTGTCATCTGCAAACTTGTATGGCTTCAGGGGGGCACCTTTATCACTCTTTTGTGGTTGTATTCAGAGGAGCTCATGGCCAACACAGATACACAGCATACACAGAAAATAAGTATTTTAAAGCAGAAAGCCCACTCTTTGCAAATGTATCAACAGTTGCTGAAGGTGTCGGAAAAGACCTTTCTCCTTAAGGATGGCCCAATGTAAGACACATACCAGGTTCTTCACATGGTTGCAAGACATGAAAATGCTGTTTCATGGAAAACCAGGGAACAGGAGAGCTCAAGGAATAGAGACAGGACTTCTGTGCGTCTCTACCATTTCCTTGCAGCAGAGTAAGTTCACATACAGTCTAGCAAGAGACAGGTTAGAAATTAGCCTGATTGTACACTCTGCTGCTCCAGTCTTTGTTTCTGTATGCTATGCAACATGGACCTTTTTACCCATAAAAAGTCCAATTCTTTCCTGAACAGAGAGAACTACTGTGGTCCCAGTGATATCCTAGATCATATATATATATATATATATATATATATATATATATATATATGTATACAGCAAAGTGTATACTGTGTGAAAAAAAATCATTAAAATTATTTGCCTTTTCAGTTTCATTGGATACCTTTGGCTTGTGACAGAGTGTAGAATGGAGATCCCAGCTTGTCCTGAGGTATGCTTCTTTTACACATTGTCATTTACAGAGAACTTCTTTAATATTTGCAGTCTTTCTCATCTCAGACTTCCTTCCACATTGGTGTAAATGACCTGTTTCCTCACACATTCTCCTTAAGCTCCAGCAATCCTGATTATCTGCTCTAGAGTTAGCCCCTGCCAGCTACTCCTTAGTGTCCCCCAACTCGGAGCTGCTTGTGGCACTCTGCTAGTCCAGTGCCATAGCAGTGAGCTGGAAGGATATAGTCATGCTGTACCCTTCAAGGAAACATAACCTGTCCTGAAGCCAATTAGTCTGTTTTCCCTCATTGGAATCCCTTGTCTTCTGGATACCTCCTTACATTTTCCTCCTTCTTCCCTTTGTATTAGCAAGTTGGAAAGGACACAATATCTGACGTTCATACTGTGCATCCGTGGTTGAAGCAGTGCCTGAAGCCCCGTCCAACCCCAGCACCTTCACTCACCTTTGAAAACTGATGTTTGCCACAGACTGTGGTACAATCTCTGGGCAAAGGTCTCTGGCATCCTTCCTGTGACCCAAACCCTGAAAGCATGGCCTCCTCCTCCTTGGAGTCCATAAGCCCATCACATATGTTTTCAGATGTGCCTGTGTGGCAGGAAAGTTCAGAAGCAAAACTTTGCCAGAGAGATCTTTTCTGTGACTCATCTGTGCTAGGGAGGGGAGAGTTTCTTTTTCATGTCTCAGCTGGGAGCGGTTCATCCTCCAGCTCCTCAGCAGTCCAGTTTCTGACGTGTCTGGGCTGCTGCACTAACACAGTATGTGCAGGGCCAGAGAAGGAGGATTGTGCTCTCTGTTAGTGCTTTGTGGGGAATAATCTTTTTTTTAAATATGCCTTTCTGTCTCCCCCACTTTCCTTCTTCCTCCTTCAGTGTTGTCACCTTGTAGTATTTTAATCAGAGGAAGCAGATATATCAAGGAAGTCAATGGCAGGGGCGAGGTGGGTGGGGGGGGCAGAGAGGAAGAGGAGGAAAATCACATCACAGCCCAGTCTGCCAGTGTAAACACTTGATGATTTCCTGTTATTGTAGCCTAAAATGTACCATGACATCATTTGCGGGCCTCCCAGAATCACCCAGAAAGAGGAAAAGCCAGTATTCCTGGCCCGCCCCCAGCGTGAATCCATGGGATTCAGACCCTATAAGGCAGTGAAGGTCTGCAGGCAGCAAAGATAGTGTTTCGAAAGCTTTCTTGTTCTTGGCAATGTGGAAATTTCACAAACAGGAAAAACTGCTTTTACTTTTCCTAAAGGGGAACCGTTTATGCCTTATGAAATATTGATGCCTTGAACCATGATTACTTTAGAGGCAGAGCTGAAATATAAAAAATGTTCTTAGTCGAGGAAAAACACAGGGAAGCCCCTCACCAAAATCACATCAGTTTGTCATTACCAGACATCTACTTCTTTATAATATCCAATTTCATTCGAAATCACTCTACAAACAAGGCAGTTAAGTCAAAAGCTGTGAATTATATAAAACAGTTTAATAAATTAATTTGATAATTTTGAAAGGTGAAGCTAGCCCTCGGTATAGCAGAGTTGCCAGTGAAATGTTCTTCCTCCTTTTCTGAGCATTAAATCAATTCCCGGAAAGTGAAGACCCAAGCTCTTTGGAGCCTGGATACACAAACTATTCTGGAATTTGACCCAACAAGTCAGATTTGTTACAGTTAATCCTGAATCACTGCACTCAGTCTGCATCACTGTAAGGAAGAACTGAATCAGATTCACAGAGATGGGCTCTCATAACTTTTCTGAGAAGGATAATAATTAGGCTGAATTTCACAGCATATCCTTTAGCTACAATCTCTTTGGGCAGACTTTCAGATAGAAAGTCTTTGAGATATCTGCAAAATTTATGTTTTTTCCTGAACAAGGTAACAAACTTCATAAATACAGTGCTGTATATGTAATCATTTGGACTCATACCCTCCCTTGCACACCTTCCAACTGCCTGGCAAATATCACTAATTACAGTGCAACTTTTTGTTATTGAAACATGAGAAATTAGTGTTTTTGTATTAAACAATTTGTATTGTGAGGAGAATGAGACACTGAGATTAAATGAACTACTACTTTACAGAATAGAATGTATTGTCTTAATCTGAGTTTAAACCAATCCTACACCTCCAAACAGTATCAGAAAATTAGATTTGTTTTACCATAAAATAGACTTGAAAAGTCAGAAGAGAGTCAGCCTAGAGAAGAATACAAACAAATATAATAAATAAAGCACATTTGGGACTAACATTAAAAAGAAACAGAACGGTCTTGCAGTTTACTGAACAAAAAATAACAATCATGTTTAAGTTTTGCTGGTTTTACTCTCATTTGGACTTACTGGAATACAAAAGTGGGCTGTTGCCTGTGAGCTATTTTTGGATACGAGAACCAAGCCATTCAATTCTTCACCATGCTAAGCTCTTCTCAAAGCTATATATACCAGATGATTATCACTTATTAAGTAATTTGCTCTTCATTCCCAGTGCTGCGGGATGCCACACTGGGAACAGCATTGAACTTGAATTTATGCACAGCTATACCAGGACATCGCATCCAATGAAGTCAACGGCCAGGTTCTAATGACAGCATCAGGACCCTGCATATTCGTTCATGCCTAGCTGTACAGTGAACAAGGAACCAGGAGAGCAAAGTGCTCTTGCACTGCTGTCGGGTGTCAAGGCCTTGCATTAACTTCCATTATTCTGTGTGTCATCTGGGGGCTGAGGTTCTCGGGTGGGCTTGGCAAGGCAGGGCAGGAGAGGAGATCCTTTTTCTAAGCACTGAATTTTCCAGATCTAGAGTGCCGTTATTCTGTCTCAGATTTTTGCTAAATCCTATGAAAACTCGTGACCTGCACAATGACAGAGGACCCTGCAGCAGGGTGAGACCTGGTGGAGGGTGGGTGATCACAGCTCTGGGGTTGAGGGACGGGGAGCTGAGGAGCTTTGTTGGATGTGAATGTTCATCTAAGATGCTGGTTTGTGTGTTTCTAGGATATTGATCCATTGTGCAGAAGGAAGTTTGGGTCACGAGCTGAGTCCATTTTCATTCCCACAGCACAGGGATGACCTCCCTACATGAGGCTGCTCTTCACTTGGTGCAGGCTGCTCCAGTGCTCTCCAGAATGGGATTTGTCAGGTGATTTTTGACATAGGTACTCTTTGCTGCTAAATATTTCCCATTTTGGATTTATGGCACGATGTGATACCATGTTTTCTGGGTATAACAGAGATAAAAATGGCACAGTACTGTGATGTAGTATGATTGGGGATTTGTGAGAATACTTCATTCGTTATGAAAAACATGAAGTGGTGCAGAGAGATCAGTAAAAATGTCAAAATAGAAATGATAGAAGTTTAGGTTATGATGAGAAGTTTGGGAGAGGAGCAAAGTGTACTGGATTCCCTCTAGTTTGTACAGGATTATCTCTGCTTATAGCTGAGGTGAATCATCCTGGAAAATTTGACTCAATTTATTGAGGAAAGCTAGGGAAAAACAAAGTGGAAGAGAACATGGAAGAGCAATCATTCACCAGGAAAGTAAATTCAGATTTAAGACTCTTAAGTATCAGACCAGAAACACGTTGGCCCGGTGATACAAGGAGCCAGTCCAGAGGTGACTCTTTCTTCTGGTTCAAATTTATTAAAAAGACCTTGCTGAACTTGTTTGTTCCAGGAAGACAAATCAAACATCACCTGTCCATGTCCCTACAGATTTATGCCAGATCAAATCTCATCTCTGCTGAATTGTGCTAGCATTAAAGCATTAAGTCAGCAAAACTCAAAATGCCCTAGCTAATCACACACAAATGTCCAGCCTGCTTCAGATGAAAAGTGTAATGACGATGATCCAGAACTCTGTAGATCCGGTATTAATGTTCACAGAAACACAGCCTGTGTGAAAAGAAACCTTCTAAAAGGAAATAAATATCTTATTTGTATTTTGTTGGTCTACTTCCTCTAAATTCTTGAAAATGTAAATTGCCAGAAAAGTCAGCTGGAGGGAAAGTGACACACTTCACATCTATAGTTTGTCATGCATTTGGGTAATTTGAACATATATTCTGTCCTCACACTTGGCCTTCTATGTTCCCTGAAGTCAATAGACAAAATTCACATGGCAGGCAGACAGATTTAAAAATAATGCCAGTGCCCAAGCAAATGGTCCATGTGAATTAACCTGAGAGGAACACAGGGACTGTGTTGACTTTTTAAGCTTTGTTTTGTTTATTGGTGTTTTGTTTTGGTCTGCTGTGGACATGCAGAGACACAAGGCAGGGACTGAACACTCACAGTAGGGTGTGGTTGTGGGACTCATAGAGTAGGTTAGTCTGTGTAAGTTTTGGGGCAAGGGAAGGGGATGTCTGCTACATTTTAATGCTAAAAAGCAGGGTATGTGATGTATCATGTGGTATAGGAATCTCTTCAAAATACACCATTTCAATTAATTCAAAATCATCTGCATCTTCATGGAAAGGAGGAAAAAACCTGAAGAAAACAGAATTTTCTATGATCATTTGTGGTGGATAAAGCAGGTTCCTAATTTTAGTCTGTTTGTAGTAGGTGTCAGCAGCCTCCATGTCTTCAGGTCAGTGTTTTTTTCTGCATCCAAGAGAGAAATGGGCCAAGTCATCCAAGGTCAAGGAATATCTTGGGAGATCAACTGCTCAGCAACCCAGAAAAGTAGGTGGGCACTGATTTTTTGACATGTTTTTATGTATCTAAGGAACAGGATCTTCTGGCTGGATTTAAAAGGACTAAAAGGTCAGGCTCAAGGCTTTCACACAGGGAATGGAGTTTGTGAGTGGTGAGCATTGCACTGTTTTGACATCTCCTTGTCCTGCTGCACAATATTGATACCAGACATCAGGCTTAGGTGGACTGAGCTTTAACTGTGCAGAAATGTGCGGTTAAAGTAATACCACTTGTATTCTGAAATATGAGGAGCTACTCAGAACTTGTGAGCCAACCCCTCAAAAATCGGTATCAATTTTCTTCTTCTTGTCTTGTGCCTTTTATTTGTCTAGAGAAACAGGCCTTATATTGCCTGCTTATTTACTGATAGCAGCAGTGCTGGGGCAGAGGATTTAGCTTCCGGCATCCAAGAGGTTGGGCAAAGATCTGGAGTGTGAAATCTCTTCTTGTGGTTCCTGTGAGTCTTTAGCAGTGCTTTTAACAGTATTTTTAATTCTTTCTCACTGTAAGATCCCCGCATGTTCAGTTCCCCAGGGACCAGTGGTTTGACCAATAAGATAAAAAATAATTCCGAATAAGGCAGATTCCCTATCAATCCACCAGAATACTCATAATACCAAATGAATCCTGGGAAGCTGAGTAATGCCATAATCTTTTTTCGCCTTTGGCCCTTAGAGTACATTGCAACAGTTAATTAAGACTATCAGCATCCCAGTAATTAAGCACTAACTAGGGAAACTGAGGCAAGACAGAACAACTTGCGGTAATTCCTCTTTAGATTAATGAGCCATTCTTTCAAAGCAATCCATTTTCTCAGAGAGAAGGCATCAGCCCAGGGGTGGATTAATGAAATATAGTAGGGTGTGGTGATGTACTTCACAATTTTTGCATGTTGTAGTGATGCAATACTCTGTATTTTTTGCTCAGAGATGCCCTGTGTTTAGTAAAAAACTAAGAAAAATAAATTATGCCATCTGTCATGCCCGTGTCTGACTGGGCCAGGTGGTGTGTGCTGTGTGCTGCATCATCATGTTCTGCTGCAGGGAAAGGAAAAGCTGTGTGCAGAGTGTGTGTAGAGTTAGGCTTGTGCAGGGATGCACTCTCTCACAGTCATGCAACCCTAACTGTAGATCACACCACGTAGTGTTAACAGAGTGGGAGGGAATTCCCTTCGCTTGTGACTGTATCAGCTGGGTGGGAGAGGTAGCATCATCATTCCCAGAATAGACTCTTGCTCTAGGCAGCTCCTTCACAATGAAGTTCTGAGTTTGAGTCCACTTCACATTCTAGCCCAGAAACAGATGCAGTACTTACCTAGACAACATTGTCATGGGTCAGGGTTTGGTGTTCACCTGGAAAAAACCCTGCCATCTGAGCAAGAGCCAAGAGTAATGTCTTCAGTATAAAATGTTCCTGCATTGGAATAAGAATGGCTGGCAACTGCCTGTATATTTTTAAGGTTTCCAAAAATAGATCTAGGTCTCAGGCAACATGAATGGAGCCAAGGCTGAAATGGAAAGAACTAGTAAAGGGTCATTTGTCTGAAACAGTTAGTGCTGAGATCATCTTCTACATTATATGCCACTACCTGGAAACATAGGCCAGTTTTCTTTTCCTCCTTTATGACTTTCTGAGCCCTGTTTTTCAGTACAATGGGGAGAATTGACTTAGTGTTGAGACTGAGTGCCACCTCCCTGCTCTGCTTCTGTTCCGTAGGAGCTGGAATGCCTGGAGCACCAAGTTGGTCTTGCAGACCTGGAGAAGCAGAGGAAAGTTAGATTATATTGCAGATGCTCTGTGTGTGAGAGAGAGAAGGTTTTCAGATCTCAATGGCAGGTGAGAGAGAAGGTCCCTATGAGTGGGAACAGGGGCTAACTGGAGGGCTAAACTTCTGGGGAGCTGCACTCTTCTGTTCCACGAGGAATTTGACGTCAATCAGTGAAGCCTTAATGCATGGGTGAACCTATGACATTTTGCAGAGGGGAGAAGGAGAATTTTGAAGCCAACTTCAAACTGCAGTTTGTTGCTAAGTGTGCCTGTGTCTTCCAGGAATGGCCCGAGGCTGAAGGTGCTATTCTGGCTGCATTTGAGACTGTCTTCCTTTGAAGTTACTGTTCCCACAGAGGTGCCAGTAAATCTGCATGTGTCCTTGCTCCCTAACTTAGCTTGGCTACCCTGTTCCAGATTAAAATCTATTCTGCTAAAAATGTCTGAACAGGTTCAATAGACACACAAGCAAGTCTGGATCATTTTGACAGGTAAACATGTCTACATTAACAAGTTGTGTGGTGTAATAAGAGCAGATGTGGAAAACAAAAGAGCTGCTCCTTGGTATATAACATTCACACTAAATGTGCTTCAGAGTGAGATTATTTTGGACTTGCTCTGTTCTGGCCCAATTAACTGAATGCTTGCCAATAGCCGGAGCACTATAGGTGCACTCCTGGAAGCACATCTTCTATTTTATCTTCATCCAAAAGGAATTCAGTTTACCAGGTATGAGACTGCACCACAGTGGGAAAGTGAATAATCAGGTGAATAGGAAATTAAATTAAGTGCAGTGAATAGGAAATTAATTAACTTAAAAAACAAACTCCTGATCTGAACTAAAAAGCTAGTGTAGATGTGGCTTACTTATATAGTTTGGTGGCTGAGGAGTTGATAGTCTCCAGGAGAGCTAGAGCTAGTGATGATGGGGATGTGTGAATACTTTTCAATCCAGCCCAGTTACAGCCTGAACACCACATAAGTCTGCTGCTGAATACACTACAGCCACATCTACACTAGCTTTTTAGGTTTTTTTTTGGTCATGGTTTGTTTATAGTGAGGCTTTGCTGGTCAAGACAGCTCTGAAGGGAGTCCCACAGGCTTTGTGGACTTCCTGTTGAGGAACACACTTAGTGCAGGTAGCTCAGTGTGCAGGCTGAGGATTAAGCTCTGGGGCAGGAGAACCTGGACTGGTACCGACATTTTGCACAACAAAGGGCACAGGGACCTGTGGCCCAACCAGGTGAGAGAGACCTGCCACTCAGAGACACAGCAGGAGCTGAGGACTAAGCAGGAGGACCCCAGGCTATTTGAGAACAGACCGAGAAGGTATAAAAGCCCAGGGAGTCCTTTGGTCAGGGTCCCTCCTTGGGGGCACCCACATAGAGCTATTACTCTGTTGTTGCAGGATGATAAAATTACTTAAAGGAACCAGAGTTCTGAGACTCTGCTATGGGAAACCTGGGGTTGAGCTGGTAAGGAAAACTTGTCTTACTGAGAGTGAGGTGTATAGGGAATCAAATGGAGCCCCTATCAAGTCACTGGAGCTGCGAAGAGGCTTTGGTCCCAACAGTTACAATCTCTGGTGGTGGGAGTGTGACTGCCAGAGTGGCTCCTGAATGGTCAGACAGGAAAGTTTACCTAACATGCCTCGGGGGTAAAATGCAGTGGGTAATGTAGTAATTTACCTCTAGCTTCCAGCTTCCAGTATGTTTTTAGCTGACCCTGACTACTGTAAATGCTTAATGGCCTATGAGAAATACATATGAGTAAACATGTTTCCTTTTGGATACATATCACATGACCAAAGCTATCACAATAAATACCAGTGGAGCTAATTTTCAAATTAGAAACATTTTTCTAAAACTGAAAGCCCTATCTTGATTCCTTCTGTCACGCACAGAAATAATTTTTCTTCACTAGTTTGAGATGGAACAGACCATCAGGACTTACCCCATCTCCTTGCTCTAAGGAGAAGGTGCCGGTGTCAGTCTCCAAAGCTCACATTGTTCCAATTCTGCCTAGATTTAAGAGCGTTTCTGTGCTAGTACCTTTCATCCAAACTGGCAGAACATATTCTCAGTAATTGTTTTGTCATTGCTAGTAATGTTCTCTGTTATTTCGGTTGTAAATATTCGAAGTGAGGTCCCAGAATATCTGTTAGATTTCCCTTTGTTCCCCACATTGCTGCAAGCACTACAAGGTGTACAAAGCAAGCAACACATGAGCATTTGCTTGCATACGGTATATAGAAAGAATAACTGAAGAAGAGACAATTCTAGCAAATGGCTTGTTCTTACATTTTTTTTGTATGGTCACTGCATACGTTGCACACCTTTTGTCTGGTCTGAAACTGTCTTCTTTAGTCTCTCCCTGCACAAGCACAGCATATCCGCAGACACACAGGGAGAGATGAGTGGTGTGGGCTGTACAGCAGGTCATTGTGCCTAATCCTCCCTTGCAGGGGCTTCACTGCCAGTGGTGGATTTATATGATGGAGGGAATGAGGAACTAGGAACTAGAGCATCTGGCAGACTCAAATCCCTGGGTTTTCCAAGCAGTTCCAGCTATTTCTGCCAGGGTGAATGGACAAGCCAGGAGCTGGGATGTTACAATGTAATGAGATCCATTCTGTGAGGTGGAAAGCGGATCAGATAAATGGGGTCGCACATCCAGTGGCCCATCAGCTTCTGCCCTGTCACTGCAGCTACATGGGAATGGAATTATTTCCAGCCTTTTCAAACCCTGCCTTCCTGGATATGGTATGCTCTCCACTTCCTTTACCTCTCTCATCCTTCCAGCTTGAGAATCGCTGCAAAAAATTACCACGATGCTCAAGCCAAAAAGGTGTTAAAGAGGCAAGGGTGAATGGAAAGAGTGATTTTGTTTGTTTGGGTAAGAAGATGCCTTTTACTTCTAAATACAATCAAACAGTAAAATGATCTAAGATTGTCATTGAAGGCATCTCACTGTGAACCTAAAGGCATTAAGTCTGAGCAGAAGGAAAGCAGTAAGAGCACGAGGAAGAAGTTTAGCTGCTATTCAAACAGGAGTTCAGAACCTGACTAGTTAATTTTAAATAGACTCAATTCAGGACTACTGTGTGGTGAAGGTGTAGTTCTCGTACTATGGTAACAATTTCATTTTGTGCCTCCCTTTACTTACGTGAATTAAACTAAATTTCAGCCGTCTGAAATATACCTCTAGTAAGAATTTGGCCTCTATCCTCTCTCAAAGCTATGCAAAGGGGAGCTCATGTTACTCAGCATCAGTCAAAAAAACCTATATGCTGACAAAATAGCCCCTTTTTTAAGTGCTCATGCTAAATAATTCTGATATGTCAGACCAAATAATTTACCTGCTTTTTCTGCTTAAAAGAAGGTACTACAGAAGGTTGGATGTAAATGAAACCAAGGCCAGAAATCCTCAGTGAAATACCAGACCTCCTCCCAGGAGAATGCTTAATGTCATCAGGTCTAATCTAATTCTGAAACACTTTAATATTATTTGGGATCTGAGCAGTCTGGAAATAACAGCATTTTTGAGGCCCTGGGTAATGTTACTCATTTCTCCAGCCTCCTGCAAGAAGGATCTTTAGTCAACTGATACTTTTACCCCTTGGAATCTCATTCTGAATACAGGAGGAGAGATAACCCCTGCCTGTGGCTCTCAAGGAATCCACTGAGGTGGTTGTTCTCACACATGGCCAGGCAGGGAGGGCTCAGCAAAGGGCTGCTGGATGACACCACCCCTCCTCAGCAGCTGGCAAAGCAGAGGTCCGGGGGAGGTGAGGTCTTGGTGCAGGACTTCCACAGGAGGAATTCCTCATGGTACTGTGGCTGGAGCACCATGTGGTTCTTGTTTCAGATGTTTTGTCCTCCACCTCAACAGTGAAGGGGAAGGGGAAGGGGAAAGGAAGAAGCAGAAGAAGAGAAGCACAGAGACTCATGTCTCTTACAGGGAACCCTTGTCTTTCAAAGTGGCATGAATGGTATTTTGTTTGGCTGTTGCTATGAATGTTAGGGAAGACAGGCAAGAGAAGTGGCGGGGGTGAGAAAGAAGTGTCTGTTATGCTGTAGCATTTGCTTTGCTTTGTCTTGCCCCTTGAGACTGTTCGAGACTCTTTGGCAGAGGGTTTATGACTTTCTGCACACATGGCCAATGCCTGGAACACTCTGAGTGAGAATACAGTTGCTTTGGATCTGATTGTTTCACTGGCACAAGGCTTCATTTGCATCAGTAGCACTATGAAGAAGATATTAGGTCCCTGGGTACTAAATTGTGGCACTTTAAATTTGGCAAGGAAATAGCTAGACTTCTATCATCTAAAGTCTTATCATCTTTATGAAAAAGAATAATGAAATTCTCCAAACAGTTACCTCAGTCTTATGAAGGAACATTGGAACAGAAGTCCCAACAGAAGCAGAATCAGGCTCTCCCCATCATATATGTTGTTAGCATGGAAGAAGTCTCCACAGAGTCACTTGAATTCAGTGAAAAAGCTCACACATAACATTCCTGGATCCAATCCTGGCAAAAAATCACAAGCAAGTGATTTTATTATTCTAGATGTCTTCTGTCAGTATCTGTTTCTGCAGGAAACAAAGGGAGCCCTTTCACGGAGCAGTCTTATTGGAGCTAGTCTAAGAAAGTCTCAACACAAAAATGAGCCAGAAAAGGAAGAAAACTTTGTAACACAGGCTCTTGGGCACCTGTGACTTTCTGTGTAGGAAAGTTATACTGGTTTACATCAATCCAATTATACTGATTTTTTTTTCTATGTAGGCATAGCATAGAGATTCTAGTTTAAGTGAAACCTGTATATTCAGCTGAAGCAAAGAAAGCTCATAGACCCTGTTTCCTTCTTCTGCCAGGTGGGCATAGGAATAGTTTTATTACTCTCTATAGTATTACTCTTGATTTACTTCAGGGTGAGGCAAGGCCTTGTGTCTTGCAAATTTCATTTTTCTTTTTTATAGGCTGAGAACTGTTCTGGATTTTCTCTTTCTCATGTAATGCTGCACAGTGAGGAAACATTACAATGAAAAGCAAACCAACACATTTTATAAGCTTAAAATTTATTTGTGTTATATTACATAAACATTCACAATGGTATTAATCCTTGGGGAAAAAAGAGAAACTTCTTTTCTGAAGACCCTGAGGATTTAAATATGGGTATTTACAAGGCACTTTGAGATCTTTTGAATGAACAGCAATTTTTAAAGACGTACAAAGTGTTATTATGAATCTGATGTCAATTCCCAACATATCTCAGTTTAATAATAATCCCAGTAGAATACTGTAATCAAAACAAAGAAAACAGTTTACTCAGCAGGAGTCTGTGCTGAGTTGCTTAGCAGAGCTTGGCTTGCTTTCTTCCTATTTTATATCTCAATTTATATCTTAAATTAACACAATCTCATTTATTCAGGATGCTGGGGAAAAAAAAAACTAGGTATGAAGCACAGCTAGCCTACATAGGCTTTCCATCA